TCCTAATTTGATATTTTTTTCTAATATTTTGAGCACTTAAAACTTATAGGCCCTCCGTTAACTGGGATCATTGAGCCTGACTGCTGTCTCAATGCAATAGTGAACTTAAAAACACCTAACTGTGTGAAACAACAAGGTTGATGAGCCAATGCAAACTCATGTTCTTCTCTTGTCTTTGCACATAGCTGGAAGAGATATCCCTGGTGAAAAAGACAGAGATAAAACCAGACAAAGTCACAATCTACTTGGAAGAGGTAAGAGGAAGACCACAGAATCTGCCCATTCAAAGAGTTGCAACAACAGTACTTTGCATTGGGGCTCTTAGAGATCAGAAATACAAAGCTCTAGGCTGATGAGACAAGCTAAAATTTTGGCAAAAAAGGAGGGTGGAGGGACCTGAAGAGGCAGAGAAGAAAGTATTTGGCACAGAGAGAATATAGCAGGGATGTCAGTGACTTTGAGGAGGCCAATGCCTTTCTGCTTGCTTCTGTCATCTCCAGTTGGATAAGACTTCTGTGAAGCTCACCATCTCAGTGGAACAAGATATTGAAGTTCAGAACCTGAAACCAGCAACAGTGCATGTCTATGACTACTATAAGCCAGGTGGGAGTTCACTGGTATAGGTAGAGTCACTATCATTCCTTTGATTCACTCAGACACAACTCTGCCCCCTTTTTTAAGTCAAAAAGTACCCCTTTTAAAGTTAATAAACTGAAAGTTTACTCCAGTAAACATCCTTCTGCAGCTCCAGTCTTGGGTTCCCTATGTACAAAACCTTGTACATACAAATTACAGAATCACTTGCTTTTCTGTTCCTAGATCTTTCTTGAGACAAGACCACCTGGCACTGAGAGTGTTTTGTGATGTGTTCAAATGATTGTTTTAGCTTCAAGCTCTGTAAAAGCAAGCTTCTCTCAATTCATTGCATCTTCTCCAGCTCCTTGGCTCTCTTGAAAATATTTATGTATTTATTTAAAATCAAATTACATACTGCCACCTGGATCCATCAGGTGGCAGAATTTAGTTCTATGATTTTCAGGTGTAATGTGATCCTACCATCTGTTGGGTGTTTTCATATCCCAGAGGATAATAGGAAAATAATTTCTTACCCTTTAAAGCTCTAAATGAAGTACACAGAGGAGAGACCTTGAAGTCATTGTTGGTCTCTTTCAGATGATTCAGTGCTCAGTATGAGCCAAAATAACAAATGCAATATTAGCAGTTATTAGAAAATAATTTGATAACAAAATGGAAAAAAAAGTCACTGGAGACAGTGCACCATGTGCCTACATGCTGTATACTGAATTCTGTTCTTGTTCCATTTCTTCATCCCATATCGAAAAGTGGAAAATTCTTAATTCTCTAGCAATTACCCTCTGAGGAAGCACGGGAACACATCATAAAAAACAAACAAACAACAAAAAGCAGCCTTTACATATCTAAATACTGTTACCTAATATGCTCTTTGCTATACCATCTTCTATAAGAAATGTTTGAGTTCAGTACATATATTTTTTAAATCATCTGACATGAAAATACTAATTCTTAATTAAAAAAAAATACAAGAACATCTTCTTTTTAAAGAAATGTCCTTCAATTAGAAGATATTTCATTGCAGGACTTTCTATTTTATGAAGGTTCAGACAGCTGTAGTGTGGACATGCTGGGGAGATGAACCTCTGGCCTGACCCACTGCAGACCTATTTTTGTCCCTACAAGCACAGTCTGAACATTGAAAATTGAAGAGAGTGGGATTAAAATGGGTTAAAGGAGAAGAAGCTTGGTACTAGTCTACTCTGCAGTTTTCAACTCACCACCCATTCTCATTTTTCTTTCCTTACAGATGACCACACAGCAAGAGAATACTTATCCCCTTGCAGGTCAGGTTAGTGTCAATGTGCCTGCAGTGTGCAAATGTCTAAAACAGAGGGAAGGACTGGGTAGTTTGCACAATTCCTCGGCCTGTAAGCAGCAAGGCAGCCTACCTTTGCCCTGTATTTAGTTCCATCATGTGCTGTAGAGCCTTGCTGGCCTGCAGTTTGAACTGAAACCAGTTTGAACGGAAATCTGTGGCCACTGTTTCTAACCTAAGCATGATATCAATACAGACCAAGACTTGTACATAGTATAGAATGATAAAACAGCCTATTTTTATTCCATTTCCATATGCTTCTCAGCTATGAAGTCCTCACAACTTCCCAAATCTGAGTGCAACTGCAAATGACCACATGGATCACAAAAGATGTTGCTATTCATCCCCTAAGACCTCTTGACATTTAGATTTGTTCCTAAAAATTCATAATGCACTATGCCTTTTTCTTGTTCGTTCTTTCTGTAGATGTCTAGATGAAGAGTCCCTACTCCCTGGAACCAATAATCTGAGCTTCTTGCTTCTGTAAGGAAACCTTCAGTGTCCTGGCTCTCCATCCTGCTATACATGTTTCTTCTCTGTTGGATATATCGTGCTTCTTTTGACCTATAGGAATTTTCTCTGTGTGAAACCTTACTTGATATTCAGTAGTTTGGAATCAAATGAAATAAAGCATGTGGAACATGAGAAGTATATAGTCACTTGACAGTTAATTAAATATGCACAGAATTCATTGTCTGAAAGAGAGAGAGAGAAAAAAAGTAGCCTTAGGTCATAGTTATACATTTTTGGTTTAGGCTTTCTGGCAGGTTAGTATTCTTCTACTATTAATGTCCCATGCCTGGACTACCCTCTCAATTGTGCTAACACCACAAATTATCCTTAACCAAACTCCAAACCAAAAAAGACATTTTTAACCCAGTGGAATCGCAGGTCTGTGACAAGCCTTGATTTGGTTTGCTACATGAACCCCATGAACCATCTTACTATCACAACTGAGGAGCAGGAAAAGCAAAGGGATGCTAAGGGAGAGAGACTTCATCAGTTCTTCCACAAAGATAAGGATTGTGTAACAGTGCCTTGTGACAGGAAGCCACAAGACCAAAACAGCATCTTACACAGAATCTCTACATGTCAGGTGGCCTATTTTTTGTTTCCACTTCTTACATGAAGGAGAAGTTGTTTTATTTTATTTTATTTTAAAACCCAACAAGAGCATGATCCTGCAGATCTCAGGTTTGAATTTCACTGCCATTAAATCAAGCATTCCAGGATTTTGCTTCAATGTCAATTGCTTTAAAAATGTCTTCCAAACATTATCAAAGAAGGACTAGATTACCTTCCTAATGACATGGCAAGGGTACTGATGTCCTCACAGTTTCTACAATATATCTGCCCTGCATAACTGGATAAAGCAGATAGCTAAGACAACCTCAGAATGCTAATAGACAAATACCATGAGTAATAAGGTAGACTAACACTGATGGAAAAGATTGCGATATGTCACCACCTTATAGTATCAGTTCCCTCACATGTAGAGGATGCTGAGAAATGAGTACATCTGTCTTCAAGTGCTGTAAAGACCCTGGCAGTCTTGGTAGACAGAAAGTCGAACATGAGCCAGCAGTTGCCCTGGCAGAAAAACTAAGAGCCTAGCCAGTAGATCAAGGGAAGCTATTATCCTTTTCTACTCATCGCTCATTAAGTCTCATCTGGAACACTGTGCAGTTTTGACACACATCTCTAGTTGAGAGTGCAGTTTTGCACTCTGCATCTGTGCAGTTTTGACACACATCTCTAGTACAAGAGAGATGATAAACTGGACTGAGTTCAACAAAGGCACACCAAGACACTCAGGGGTTTTAAAGTATTTGTTCCATGAAGAGAGGGTGAGGAAACCAGGCTGGTCCAGCCTGGAAAAGGGAAACCTTCATAGGGGACCTGATAGAAGACTTCCACTACCTATAAGGATGGGGTGGTAGGAGAACAGATGTGAAATGAGCGATTCAGTCTGGATATAGTGATATACTTCTTCACTATGATGTCAGTCAAACATTGGAACAGGCTGCCTAGAGAACCTGTGCAGTCTCCATCCTTGGAGATTTCCAAGACCTGACTGGAGAAAGCCCTGAGCAACCTAGCTTGATTTCATAGCTGACTTGATTCTCAGCAGGCATTTGGTCTAGAGATCTCCTGATGTCCCTTCCCATTTAAGTTATTCAGCAGTAAGTACTGAGGCCTACCACAGCCAGCGCAGACAAGAGTTGGTGTCCCAACGTCATGTGAGACAAATTACTGGTAGGCAGGTCAGTGGGCAAAAGTGATTCCTAGGAAAGGAAAAACTGCTATAGGAGTCAGATGAACCCTCTGTCCTTCTCCTTAAAGCCATAAGAGTGAGTAGAGTCAGCACTGTTCTCACAGAGTATATCACAAAATGTCTAAGAGGTATAGAGGTGTCCCTGTGCTATCCCTCCTCCTGTGAGCAGTGGCTCAGTTTGCCCCTGTATTTTCCCAGCACTGCTCAAGAGATAATAGAGGTTCCAAGTTACAGATCACAAAGACTACCTCTGCTTGGCAGCTCCTGAGGTACCTTTTATGTCAGAAGGTGAGAAATGAAAAGGGCCTCAGCAGAGTCGTGACAGATGTCAATGTCACAGAATAGCAGAATGATTGAAGGTGAGAGATGATCTCTCTAGAGATCATCTAGTCCAACCTCCCTGCTCATTGGGGACAATAAACACCAACACCCACAATAAACAGTCTTTGGTCTTTGCTAAAGGCAAGAACAATCATCTAGCAATCATCATGATCTTTACAGAGTCATACAGCATGATCTCTTGGAGTGAAAAACAAGCAACACTCAGGATGCTGATTTAGTGTGGTTCTAGGAAACAGACCTAGAAAAGGGAAGGTGGAGGGGAATAATCTGTGAGGGAGGAAATGTTACTGAAGGGTAACACTGAGACAACACTTCCAGCAGCAGATTAAGCAATCTTATAGATTTCTACTAATAAAGGGGAAAGTTCTGTTCCTGTAAATCTTCCTGTTTTCCCCTTGATCGCCATCCTTCCCCTTTTACATGACATTTAGCAGCTCCATTATCACCAGTATGTCCCACCTCCCGCCATGGGAGTAGTCCAAGGGTTTGCAATGGAGTAAATGAGTGAATGCAAAGGGCAGAGAGTAGAAATCAATAAGCCTGGTGCCCTCTGCAGCTCCAAAGAATGCAGGTGCTTCCTGCGCCTTTGAGTTGAGGAAAGGCTTGACCACCAGGCCCAGCGGCAGACCCACCTCTACATGACAGCACAGCACACCTGAAGGGTTCTTCCAGCTAACCTTTGCCCACATGACTTGCCTAACTGCTGCCAGAACTGCATATCCCAAGCAGTAAGGACTCCTAAAAGGCCCTTACTCTTCCCCAAGTGATTTGCACTCCTGCGATGCAAATACAACTTCACCTTCTTCCCACTGTCTCCTAACTACCTCCACGGTCCACTACCCCTACTTCAGATATCTGCATAGATATCCTTCTTTCTGGTCTACATTCTCCACTGAGGAGCCACTTCCCACCTTATTCTCTCTCATAACACTCCTGTTCCCTCCCTCTTTCAATGCAGAAGTGTTAATGGTAGACCACAGAGGAAATGAGAGTAAGAAAGACACAGGTGTATAAGAGGTACTTGAATGCCTCAGTTAGACTAATGGCCATGATAAGCCTGTGCTTATCCACCTTGATGCCCTGCCAATGGGTGAAGGAGCACAAATTTCAGGCCTTGCTTGGGACATATAGCTGTATTTTTCTTTTCCACAACCCGAGTCAAAAAGTTTTCATCAGTGCTCTGCTTTCATCAGAGTGAAAGTCTAGAGACTAGTTTGGGCATGACGTTGGGACTGGCCAAAAGAGAAGCACAGATAAAGATTAAGGTTGGCATTGAGGTGGTCTGAAAGACAAAGGGTAGAGACGGGTTGGACTTGGCATTGTGGCAGATCTTGGCTTTGAGGTTGCACAAGAGAGGAAGGTTGGAGCTTGGTTGGGCTTGGTGTTAGGATTGGACTAGGCACTGCGGTTGGACTTTGCACTGGGGTTGGCCAAAAGAGAAAGGGTAAAAAAGGGTTGTGTTCGGCTCTGCTGTTGGGGAAAGGGAAATTCTAGAGGCTAGTTAGTTGTTCAGGTCTTATAACCTCATTGTGCTTATTGGCTCCACACACCAGGCACACTCCATAATGAAAAAACAGTGGCTTAGGGACAGAAAAAAAAAGAGAAAGACTAAGGCTAGGGTTTTGAGAAACAGAAACATTAGTGTCAAGTTAGGGTTAGGATTATGCCTTGGAGATTATTTACAGGTAGGGTTAGGGTTTGGGCAAAGAGAAAGGTTAAGGACATGTTAGGCCTAGGGTTAGGCTTTGGACTAGGTTTTGTTTTTTTCCTAGGCTTTGGTTTTGGCTAAGAGTGTGGCTAGGAAAAAGAAAAAGGGCAGAGACTGCATAGGAGTGGGTCTGGAAAAGGGCTGGCTGGGAAAGGCATGTGTTACCAGGAGAGCTGTGTTGTGTGGAGTTTCTGTTGTGGACCAGTCATGGGAGTCATAATGCCAGCATTAACCTGAAAAATGTTCTAGCATAAGCACTGGAGTTTTGAGAAAGTGAAAAAGAGGCTACATTGGAGTGGTTCTGAAAAAGTCTGGCAAGAGAATGTGTGCGGTAGCAAGAGCACCGTACTGTTAGCGATTTCTGTTATGGTCCAGAAATGCAGTTCTGAGTGTTACCATTAAACTGAAAAATGGTTTAGACTTAGTTCTTGGGCTAGGCTTAGTGCTTGGGTTAGGGTTAGTCCTTGGGTTAGAGTCAACACTTGGAGAAAGGCTTGAAACACTATAGGAATGGGTCTAGAAAAGTGCTGGAAAGGAAAGGCATTTTTTACCAGGAGAGTTGTGCTGTGTGGAGTTTCTCCTGTGTGCCAGGCATGGTGGTCTTAATGCCAGCATTTTGAATGTGGGTTTGTCTTTGTTTTGTTAATCTATGACTTTTTCCATTTTGTTTGAAGCTCATAATCTCCTTGTCTTAGAACTTTGACCTATGTGACCATGTCCTTCACTTCCCATGAAATATGATTCATTTTTCCCATTTCAGCTACCCATGCCCAGGCCTTTGGAAAGGGTCATTCAACAGTCTCAGCAGCTGTACTTATTTAGACTTGGCAACACCCACTTCCCTTTTGCTAAGGTATTCAAGCAGACAGCTAATCATTTCCTGTAGTGCTACTAACAAGATAAGAATCTGAGGAATTTCAGGATGCAACATGCTATAATACCAGAGTTGAGTGTATGCAGATGGGCCATAGGAATAGACAATGCTATTAGCAAGGTAGTACAGAAAAAGACAGGACGCTAGTTAACAAAAATATGGGTGCTACTTTAACAGAACTGATGTCCAAGGGAGAGCTGCCATACCATAAATATGAAGTAAGGCTATGAAATCA